CAAACTTTATTTTAAAATTTATTTTTTTAATATTTTTTTTATTTTAAATTTTATTTTAACAAATACAAAAAAAAGTTATAAAAATTAAAAAAATGTAGTGAAACAATTTATATATAATCAGATCTATGGTTAATTTTTATTATTAGTAAATTACTATCATTATTGTTTTGAAATTTTATAATAATGATTGCTAAAAGCTTTGATATTTATTTATATAATTTTTTAATTGTTCAAATCCAAATTTAGTAATTATAATAGTAAACTAAAAAATTACAAAAAAAAAAAAAATTATTAAAAAAAACTGCTATTAAACTTATTCATTATTATTTACTTACTTAAAAAATACTTTATAAACAGTTTCACCCTTTAAAATAAATGTTATTAATACATAGCTATTAATAAATAGTATGCTTAATTTTCTACTAAAAGCAAGTAACAGTTAAATTATTATGTATGTATGATAATAAAAAAGAATATATATATAATTAAAAAAAACATCATGTAATTCTTTCAAAGTTACTATTATTTAATGGAAAGGTCAAATACATTTTTTAAGCACCAGCTTTTAGAGTCACTGCATAATTTATAAAACAAATTAAGTTGAGTGTAAGTAACATATAACAATAATAAAAAAGCGCAGTAGAGATAAAAAAGCAAAAAATATTAAACTGCCTTCATTTTGAGCACCAAAAAAAAATCGCTTGACTATAAATTAACATTCGATTGGACCGAAACCCCAGACAATAATCATTATTTATTTATATTATAAATGTGTAAACAGCTGCAATTCGCCACTGTTAACCGCATTATTTAGGGTTAAGTTTTGCACTCTCCAGCAACGGGCCGCTCGTCTAATCATATTTCAGCGTTTGTAAGAAGTCAAAAGAGCGCACTCAAGGGGTGTACCGAAAATAGATAAAAAGCAATGAAAATATAAAAAAAAGAAAAGAAAAAACGGCATAAAAAATACAGCACGCGCTTGCAGTCATTACTTATTATGTTTTTAGCCACCGATGAAACAAAAAGGACAAAATCTTTTTTAAAATTCAGACGGGCAAACAAGTGGATGAGTGGATGAATAAAATAACCAACAAAAAAACAACAAAGAGAAAACACTAAAAAATATTTACAAAGCGTAAAGTAAGAAAAACAAATAATTTAAAAAGTAAAAACAACAACAACAAACATCAAAAACCTTAAATCGAGAACAAAACCAGGATATAGGATTACAACGCCGCAAGCAAAGTGTGTGTGTGTGTGTGTGCATGTAGTTCGGCCTGCAGGACACACTTACGGTATATACGTAGTATGTGTGTGTTTAGATACAAATAATTTTCGAATTTACATAAATTACCCTCGACGCATATGCAAACACGCCGCAGCAGGTAATTTATGTGCAGAAACAATACAGCCAAAAGCGGCACACACACATACACCTCAATACATGAATGTAGTTATGTATGCGTATAGCATGTAAAAAATAACCTCCCAAGTGCTTGCAGCATGCATCAACACACAAACGCGTCGTGTCAGTATGCAGTCTCATTTCTTGCTTTCTTTTTGTGCTGCTTTGGTGGGCGTGAACGTGTCCGTATGGAGCGATATTTTTATGCGGCAACTAAACACTACAACTCAGTCAATACTTATGTACATACATATGTATGTGTGTGCTTATGTGCGCTATGCTTTTCAGGGAGCTGGGCGTGTATGCTACACACATACCATACACACTATTTACAGTTGGTAGCCAAAGCAGGGTTTATTGCCGCACAATAAATTCTATGCACAAGCAATGTACTCGTAAGTATGTTTGTCGGTATGTATATGTGTGTGTATAATTGTGTACTTCATTATTTTTTGGCATTTTGAAATAATAATAAAATAATATGTCTTATTTGCTGCTGCGGCTGCTACTGCTGCCGAAGGGTGCGTAGGTTGGGTGCGTAAAAGGGGCGTCACTGGTTAATGGGTGTTCGGGTGCGAAATGAAGGGTTATTCGATATGGCGATATGATAATTGAATTACAATTTTACTAAGTGTGGTGTAAAAACTTGCAAATTATGACACGAATGACCATTTGTTCGCTACTGAAGGGTAAAGAGAGCGACAAAAAAGAAAAACTAAAAAGCTGTGTTTAAAAAAGATATTGGATTTCTGATCTCTTCATGTGCTTTAGGCTTACATTTTTGGGTATTTCATATATTTGGACATATTTTTTATATTGGTGGTTGCAATAAAGTTTAGAGCTAGGCAATTATATGGTATTTCTAATGTAGCTGAGTTGGGTTTCATATTTCAATGCTTATCTAAAGAGTTTAAAATAGCATTTTAGAGACTTTACGTGGAGTTATACCGTATCGTTTTATTTTGAACCAACTAAGTAAATATAACCAAACATGATAAATGTATAAAAAACGGAACCGATTTATGAAAAAAAATTATTTTATATAATACTTAAAAACAAATAAATAAACAATAAAAAAATAAATTAAATTTAAATATATTAAATAAATATATTTAAAACAAAAATTTACTAAAAAAAAAACTCAAACAAAATTGAGAAAAGTGTAGAATGTAAAAAAAAATATCTTCAAAAATTATAACAGTACAAACATTAATCTTAAAACCTTTTATTTTCAGCTTTTTATATTTTGTGTTACATAAAATAATTAGTTAAGCAAATGCGTATCGGCTATTTTATTAGAATTAATTATTAGGTTATATTCCTCAGGCAGCAAAAATTATTAAAACTTTTTTGCAAATATAAATGCAAATTTTTGCTACTGACGCATCATAATTTTGAACCGAAAATTTTTTGAGCAATATCTACCAATATAATATATATGTATTGTTTGTAATTTTCTTTTACTGTTAATGCAATGCAACATAAAGGAAGCAATACGTTTTTTGTAGAAAAAAAATGTATTTAAAACCAAATGAAATTAAATAATTAAAAGTCTCTAAATTTCGTAGAATGGCTTGGTAAAATTATTTTATTTTTATATTTATTAATTATTTTAAACAAAAAACACAAACTATTTTGAGCTGATTTGCATAAAGCGTTTATGGAAAGAGCTTTTATTTATATTATATATATATTAAACAATATAAGACATTAAAAGCTTTGAAATAATAAGGAAGCATGTATTGAAACATAATAAATAGGATGTATTGAAAAAATAATAACATCTTTTGCAAAATACAACGCTGAAATATACAGCTTACAAAGAGCTTTTACAATTTAAATAAAATTTACAGCAAATCTAAAAACAGTTTGTTAAAATGTATTAAAAATATTATATGCTAAAGATATGATGCGCGCAGAAGGTACAAAAGCTCAAACGATAGTTTGTAAGCTTAACTTTTTCAAATGACCCAAAGAGCTTCCATTAGAGCTTTCACTTTTGTTGGCTCTAGTTGCTAGAAAAGCTCGAAGGTATGTTTGTAAAGAGCTTTCACTTTTGTGTGTTTTATGCTGAAATATCCATATGAAATTTCTTCAGTTTACATTATTTTCACTTATTGCCTAAAAATGTTGCACTTAATTTACAGTAAGTATAAAGTAGTGAAGTAAATCATCAAAATGTCAATGACACTTTGAAGTTTCCACAAATGCAGTTAATAAAAGTGGAGTTAATGATACTTCTACAAAAAAAAGTAGAGTAAACGCTTGACAAATACTGCATTGTGTGTGCTTCCAATTTGACTTCACCAGACGCCATTGCAGCGTGAACGACTTAAAGCCGCAATAACGTATGTATTTGTGTGTGCAGTTCTTTAGACACACGGCAAGTGGCGCATCTTCATCATTACTGCGACGACTTAATTGAGAACAACAGTAGTACATAATAAACATGTCTAACCCACAAGCGCCAAACCATGAAGCAATTAAAAGAAAACGCTAAAAAATAAAAATATATACATACATATGTACATACATATATAAGAGGACTGAGCGGAAGAGGCAAATGTTATGGCAAATTATGACAGCTGGCGCTACTCCGTTGTTGGTTTATGCGGGTTGACACACGCAGCGTGTGATTACCGCATTTTCACCAAGCCATTAAAAAGCATAAAGTTTGTGTAAATTGTTTTTGTTTAATTTTTTTTTTACATTTCCGTTAAATGCCATGTGATGTCGAGTAAATAGTGGAGTAATTATAAATATGTGGTGCATGTGTGTGTATGTATGCAACAATTTAGATTAGCTTGCTACAAATATAGAGTTTAGATTAAAAAGCAATAAAAACAAAACCGCGAAAATGTAAAAAATAAAATAATGTTGTTGTTGTTTTTGCTATACTCTTAAATTAAAGATGTTTTCTTTCAAAAAAAAATTAAATAAAATGATTCAAAAATACAACAATAACTAAAATTGTCACAAATTGCGCGCAAGCTGCACGCGACGCGTACATAAAGTTCACTGGAGCATGCAAACTGGCGACGGCGCACAGCACCTCGTGTGATAAACAGGGTGTGAAGGAAGGCAGTAAGGTAGTGAGTAGGAGTAGCGAAATAGTAGAAAGCAATAGAATACATTGTAACAACGCAAGTTGTTGTTGTAGTGTTAGTAGTAGTCGAAAAATAATGGCAAATAGAGTTAGTGTTAGTATTAGTGTTAGCGTAATAGGAATACATTAGCCATTTAACGACTTAATAACTCACAACCGACAACGTTAGGCAAAACTAACAACAAAAACACAAAACAATAAACCACAACAAATATACGGGGATGAAGCGGCAGCAAAGTGAGCTTCACCGTCGCTTTTGTTTTTACAATTATTGGAGTTTAAGGGATATATGCACGCATGTGTGTGTGTGTCTGCATTTATTTATGTATTTTATGCACATTTATTTATTTACTAAACAATAAATGCCAGCCAACCGACTGAGCGCTGCCAGCCAGTCAGCTGTCAGTCGGCGGCGCAGCAATGCACTTAACTTATATATGCTATATACAATATAGGCTCACGCGCATGCGTTGCAACCACTTAGCTTACCTGCATGAAATTTGCTATGCGTCTTAAGTGCGCTCTCCGTGCCAAATTGCTTGCCACACACCTCGCAGGCATGCGGTTTGCGCAGGAAGTGCACCGTCAATTTGTGCAGCGTCAGCTGGGAGGGGCGCGGAAAGCGCACATGGCACAACGTGCACTCGTATGGTCGCCCCTCGCTGTCGTGTGTCTCCATGTGACGTTGTAGGGCAGAGCGCATGCGAAAACCGCGCTTACAGATCGAACAAACAAACGGCATAGAGGCTTGATTGCTGTGCGCTAGCTGATGATGTTTGCGCAACGCTATGTCATTGGTGAAGCGTGCATCGCAGAAGAGACAATTATGACTGTTGCGCAAGACGCGTTCCATTAGCAACAATTCGTCTTCGCTGGCGTTCGCATTGCCCCCCATTAGCGCGGCAGCAGCGTTTGTATTGCCGCCGCCAACACCACCAGCTTGCAGGGCTGGCATGCTAGCCAATTTGGCGCTGGCGCGTCGCTTGCGAAAATGTCGCAGAGTTGCTGTATTGGTGGAGGTGCTGTCAGGTTCGGTCTGCTCGGGTGAGGGCATCGTGACGTGTGCGCGCTTTGTGCAGTGTTGCAGTGATTGTTCGCCACTTTGTTGTTGTTCTTCTTCCTCAAATGTACTTTCGTCCTCTAATTGTTGGAGGAATTCACCGTGCCGTTGTTGTTGTTGTTGCTGCTGCTGCTGTTGGTGGTGCATTTGCGCTTGCAGTTCTTGCTGTTGTTGCTGCTGCGGCGCTGCGCATGGTTGCGCATGCGCATGGTCTTCACTGAAAGCTGTTGAATCGAAACAAAAAACAAACTTAGTTAATACCAGTTAATTGAATTAGTTAGTTAGCTAGTTTGCATTCAATTTTCCAATCATTTTCCACACGCAATTCACATTTCCATGCCCATTTATATCATACATGCAAGTATTTATTAATTTGTTGTTGGCGCTATTACGCTATTATTCTAGTTGTTGTTGTTGTTATATTTTTTCAACTTACGGTCATCACAATCGGGACAGCAGAGTATGCGTTGCGGTTTGCCGCTGCTTGAACTCGGCGATGGCGTGTGCATGCCGCCGGCCGGTTTGTGTGTTGTTGGTGTTGTAGACTCAGCAGACAATTGCGTGGTGTCCAGTTGCAAATCAATGGCTGTAGGCGAGAATAAACAAATGCATAATGCATATAAATTAGACGCTCAGTAATTTAGTCATTAAATGAACTTTGATTGCAAAAAAAAATGAAGAAAAATAAATAAAAATAAAAAAATATTATCAAAATATCATTAAAAAAAAGAAATAGAAATACAAGTACATAAATAAAAAATAGAAATAAAAAGCAAAAAAATAAATTAAATAATATATAAATAAAAAACAATATAAAAAACACAAAAAATAATATATATAAAATATTTAAATAATAATTTAATAATAAATAAAAGAATACCAGCGAACCTAGTAGAAAAATGTAGCGAATCAACGCGAATAGATTTATTTGTAATTATGAATTGATTAATACATATGTACAGTAACTAGGTTAAGTAAAGGGTGAAACGATTTTCGTTTAAAATATCGTTTCATTGTTTCGAAAATATATATAATAAAAAAAATTAAATAAAAGTTAATAAAATAAATCGTAATGTTTTTGAAAGCTATATACACTTCGAGGCTATAATACCCTTCACAAGTATCTTTTTAATAGCATACAAGGGTATAAAAAGATCTTAATCTTGATTTTGGTTGTTGCTATAGTGATCCGATCTAAACTATTTTTTTGAATATTGCATTATTGCCTTTGCCAATAACCCATGTTTTATTTTGTGAAGAAATTCGGTTTGTATGGCAGCTATATGCTATAGTGGTCCGATATCGACGCTTCCGACAAATGCGCTGCTTTTTGGGAAGAAAATTTCAGATTGTTATCTAACAAACAGACGGACATGGCTAAACCGACTTATCTCGTCATGCTGATTTTTTATATATGTATATACTTTATACTGCCTCCGACGTTTTCTTCTGGTTGTTTTGAAATTCGTGGAAAAACTTAACATACCCTGGTTCAGGGTATAATATTTAGGGTATTCACAAGGTGTCATATCGTCTTATTTTTTTATGACTGTAAGTACACAATTTTACAAATAATACATAATATATATAATATACGTAGTATCTAAGTTTCTCACAAAATATACACAATGAATATTCGTTGCCTCAGAGACATCGCCGTTATTTTACTCCTGTGAGAGTTTGTGTGAATTCAGTTCATAGTAAATGATTGCCATTCACGTTTGCCAGGCTAAAAATAATTGAATTTCCCCACACGATTCGGTATTCATTTAACCGGAAATACTCAAATTAGGAAATTTCAAAATCGCCATTATTCAAGAGTGATAACTCAATGATATGGTATGGCCCAGTCAGGCCAAAGGCGAGCCAACGTTTATTCATGACTCGACAAGTACCAATTAAGAACGCCATTAAGGGCAATTGAAACATCAGCTTTGATTTCAAGGCCACCCCGCTCCGGCGATAGCCTGCTCGAGCTACAACCAAACAACAAATACAACAAGCGACGATGTTAATCTAATCAGAGAGCGCATTAATATTCAGCGTTGAGTTGAAACGATGGTTTCGACTTTTGTTGCTGTTGTTTGGGAGAATTATTTGTTTTTAACTGTGGTGAGCGTAGGGTTCGGTTAGGAGGCGCATGGCAAGCATGTCGAAATATGAAAGGGAATACATTAAGGCAGTGATTACAATTACATGCATACTTTATGAGTGGGTTATAACTTTTTAAGTGAAAATGATTTAGACCATTTAACGGTCGTAAAGAAGAAGAAGAAGCCATTAAGCCAATAGTAGCTTTGTCAAGCAATTAATGAAATAGGAGAGACAAAGTTTGTGTGTGGTCACAACAGACGCACAGGACGCACGCTTTTTCTCTTTAATATCATTTTTTTTTGCTTAGAAATACAACGGTGGGTGGTCCGTGGATACAGCGTGCGATGGATAGTAGCGTCTTCAAAAAAACAAAGAATGTGAACAAAAAAAAAAATAAATTCTAAATTTTTAAGGTTATCTAACCGAGGAAAGCAAAATATTAAACATATGCTTTTATAAATCAAAATAAAATAAATAAATATATTAAATGCATAATGCAAAAATATGTAACAATTACACTATATAGTGATGTTAAGGAGATTAATCAAGACACTCAAATACCACCGCAGACTTCTTGGCGCAACAGTCGCCAATTTTTCCTTTAGCTTTGTTGAGTAGTGTTATTAATTGCAAAGTAAATGTTCTAAATGCCTTTATTAGGTGGTGTGTGACTAACTGCTTACTTAATTTAATGCTTTTTTGTGCATAATTTTCATAATTTGTTAAGAAAAATTATCTTATTTTATTAATTGACTTTAAATAGTTTATTATAACTCGATCGAAAATTTCAATATTTTTAGTATTTAATTAATTTAATATTTTAAATATTATTACGTTATTATACGTTTTAATTTATAATTCTCCTCATTTACAAATTTTTATTTTCATCAAATTTGTTGCGGCAAATTGAAGCAAAATATTTTTTAGTTTCTCACTTTTAATATATTATTAATTGATTAATTTTTTTTAAATTTAATTCTTTTGTTTATATTATTCTAGTAAATTTTTCTTATATGCTGCTAAACATCAAATTTTATTGATTTTTTTGTTTTTATTTGTACTTTATTTAGAAAACTTGTTAGTTTATCTTTAATATTTTTTAATTTTTTCAATTTTACTAATATTTATTATTTAGTGGTTTCTTTTTAAAATTTTTCCTCTTCTTCTTTTATAAATTAAAGTCTTTATGTGTTATTTATTTTTGTCTTTAATTTTTTATATTTTGTTTTGATAATTTTTAAATTTGTTTTATATTAATAATTCTTTTTTTGAATTTTATTGATTTTTTAAGTTTTTATCAATAATTTTTTTTAATATTAAGTTTGTAATTTTTTATTAATTTTTGTCTTTCATTTTATTTATATTTTATTGTACTTATAATTTGTAAGTTTATTTTATTATTTTTTATTAATATTCTAAGTTTTTCATTAATATCTTTATTCTTTTTCTTTTATAATTTAAAATTGTTACTTTTATAATGGTTTTTGTATTTACTTTTTGTATACTTCTGTTTTTAAATTTAATATTTTTTTGATGTTTTTAGCTAATTTTAATTTTATAATTTTCGTAACTTTTTTATTTAAATAATTATTTTTATTTAATTTAGAACTTTTAATTCTTGTAGTTTTTTTTCTTTCGCCCTCTATAAACTCTTCCACACATTTGTACTATCGCGCACAATTAATTAGTGTTTGCTATTTATTTTCGCACTTTTGCATTCTCCTTTTTGATTATACACTCAATTGGGTGTATAAAGCCGCAAAAAACAATAGCAACAACAACAGCAATTGAAGTGTGACGATATAATGGAATAGCTACAGACTAAAGGTGGCAGTTAATTAACGCGTGTTGCATCGTTAATGGCTTTATTGTTTTTGTATTAGTAAATTTAGTAGTTGAAAAAGCGTACTAGCGCAACTACGCCAAACAAAGTTTTGCTATTTCTCTTTGATCTTTCCCAAGCCCAAGTGTACGTCTATGTATGTAGGTGCGTGTGTTATTGTTGTTGTGACCAATGTCAACAATAGTTCTGTGCACTGCCACCCTAAAATCCTATCACACTTGCTTGACTTAGGCCATCGACCGACCACCGGCATATTTATAACTTAACGCATTTATGCACATTAGAAGAGTATTTAGTACTTGTACCGGAAATCTCGCTTGGATAAACACACAATTACACACAATAACATACTTGTATATATGTAGAACGCATGCCACGAACTCCTTTCTTTATTTTGCTATTTATGAAACGTGAAGTCGTCGCTAAAATTAAACTTCCGCTGTGAAAAACGTTTCATAAAAGTTCAAATGTATGCGTGTGTGTCAGCGTTTGCTCGCTCTGCTTACAAATTTATAAATAACTTCATTCATTAGAGTAAAATTTGTGTTTTATAATGCCTAAGCAAGAACATCAAATGCATTTGTGTGCCGGTTTGTGTATGTGTGAGCGTGTGCGCGAGTGTTTTGTTGTGCACAAAATATTAATGTGAATCAAGTGCGCTGATGATGTCTTCGCAAACGAGCATTGTGCCTTTGCTTGCCATTGTTAATTTGGGATATTAAAGGAGACCGCAATGTAGCGAAGTGAAAAACAAACGATTAAAAGCAACGCAAGCAAGAGCAGCGGAATATACTCATAATTTTATGACAATGAATTGACGTGAATTTCCGTATACCCTGAACAACATGTGTTATTTGTTTGCCGTGAAGTGTATGATTTTGACTTAATTAGTTTCAAATGCTATAGTAGTAGTGAGCAGTACTACATATAGCAATTTTTAATGTCAGAATGAGTTACATACAAATATTACAAATATAAGCTTTTATATCGATAGAGATGGTAGAATTGAATCGTTTGATTAACAAAATATGAATCTGTTTGATGTTGCTATTCTGTAATGAAAAACCTATTTATAGGGAGAAAAATAACATTCTAAACTAACAAAAAAAATGCCAAATCTTACTAGAATTTGTACTAATAATTTTAAGTTCATAGTTCGTATATGTATACCAGTTCACGTTGAGGGATGTTGTTGAAATATTTTTTAAAATAATTTTTTTTTTTTTATTATTTATTCAAAACATTTGCTTTTAAAACAGTCAACATTTTTTGTTGCGTCACACCATACATTTTATTAAACGATTTGATTGAGCAACAGGTTTTTATTACATGTTATTAATACGAAATTTATAGATTTTATTTTAATTTGTAGATACGTTAACATAAATATTTAATAATTTTCAAAAATATTTAATACTTTTTAAAAATATTTAATATGAAATCATTATTTTCACTATAAAAAAAACATAAAATATTGCTTAAATGAGAAAATCAAAAATATTTATCAAATATTTTTTTGCTATTTATTTTCTAGTTAACTTATAGATAATCGATTAATTTTTAATTTTGCACACATTTCAAAAGTATTAGAGGTATATACAAATAGATTTTTGGAAATAAAAAAATTTAATTTTTCTTTAATTTAAATTTTTAATTTCATATTTTTGATTTAATTTATAATTAACTTATCGTTAACCGATTAAGTTTTATTATTTATAAGTATATTCACTGAGATTTTTATATATTATAGGTTTTTCAAATCAGCAACGATTAAACGATTTTTTTCGTTTATTTACAAATACAAAAATTAATTTAGTATTTTTGCGCTATAAACGTTAGTTAGACTTTTTCGTAGAAAATAATTTTTATTTTTGTTTTTTTGTAAACTCATTATAAATATATTTATTTATTCTCCACTTACTCACGGTTTTTGTTAAAAAGTAAACGAATAAAATCATAAATTCTAGATATGCTAAACTCTAACCCACTATTGCTCTCTAATACGGCACATAGCCAAACTTTCCTCCCCTACACACATTACGTGATGGGCATATCTCAAATGTGAATTATAAATTGCACGCAAATAGCTGCGGATGCAAATGTACGCCTGCACGCATGTACAATAAATATTCAAAAAGACATTTTTCAATGCATCTCAACATTTTTCTGCTTTGTTCTATTCATAAACTAGTGGCGTACAATTAAAAACCAAAAAAAAAAATAAATAAAACAAAAACAATGCCACATCTAACAATAATAAAAATCAAATGACTATAGATTCACTTACATTTCTTGCCTTTAGCCGCATCGTCGCACACTTGCAGATGCACATCCTCGACACGCACCATCGACGTTTGCGAGTTGGTGGACGCTGCTGCCGAGGCCATTGCTGCGTTGCGATGGCGACTCTCCAGCCAAGTTGGCCGCTGTTGCAGGAAACATTTGCGACGCTGTGGCGAGTGTTGCAATTGATGCGTTGCCGTCGGCTGTGCGGTCGCCAAATTTTGTGTTTGCTGCCGCGACACACGTTGCTGCTGGCCGCCCGCCTGTGACTGTGAGGGCGATAATTTTGGTGCTTGTGTTTGCAATGGTTGCGTTGGCTCCAATGCATGGGCGCGTTGCAAGTGCTGATCGAGTGCGCGTTGCGTGCAGAAACTTTGGCCGCATTGGGCGCATTGGAAGCGTTGTGCGCCGTGCTCTTCGACAATGTGTTGTTGACGTTTTACGCGACGCGTGAAATGCATCGGGCAGTGGGGACAATTGAATGGCGTCTCCACCGGATGCATGGCAATAATGTGATTGCTATAGTCGAGATTGCTGGTAAACTTGGGGCGTTTGTGACAGAAGCGACAAACCAAGTTGACTTTTTGTGAGGATGTGCCGGCGTTGGCGGCATTGCTTGGTTTAGCTGCGATTGTTGCAATTGGTTTTGCTGTTTGTGGTTGCGGATGCGGTTGGATCAATTGTAGTTGCTGCATGGCGGGTTGACGTGTGCGCGTGTGCTGCAACATGCGTACTTGCGGTGTGGTGTGTACTGCTTGCAGTTGTATTTGTTGTTGCGGATGTTGTTGTCGTTGTTGGTAGTGCGATGCGGAGGGTGTTGAAGCGCAGCGCGGCGGCCGATTTGCAACCTGCGCGGAGGCTGGGTGTGGCGGTGGTGTAGCGTTGTGCAACTGATAGTGTTGCATATGGCGCGGAGGCGGCGTCTGATGCAAAGTGCGTTGAGCCGAATTCACTGTTGGTGAAGCGATAAATTGTGGACTCAAATTGATGCCGTTCACCTGTACCGTTGACATGTGCGGCAACGATTGTCCCGTCATTTGTGGTTGTGCATGTTGCATGATTACGGTTTGTGGCGCCTGCGACAATTGATATGTGGTCGGCGGTTCAGGTGTGCCGGTGGTTGTGGCGTACAATTGTGGGGTGGCGCCACTACTACCATGCTTGCCGTAATCTTGCGGTATCACAATCATTATTTGTTGCTGCTGTTGTGGTTGCTGTTGGCACGCTGGTCGCTGCTGTACTGTGGAGGCAGCGCCTTCAATGTAATTCTCGTTTGCATCGACCACCGATGATTTGTTTAACTCAAGTGCATGGCGATGCTGTTGTTGTTGGTGGTGGTGGCCATGTTGCTGCGCTGTGCCAGCCAAATGTGGCGACATACCGGTGGTGGCAATCAAATTAGGCTGATACAAATCGCTGGCGCTAATGTAGTAGGTGGTGGTGCCGCCACCGGCGGCTGGCGCCTCGATGATGGCCGGCGAAAGGCTCGTAAGATCGGCACTGGACGTCCATTGGATTTCTTGTCCGCTGCCGAGGCCGTGGGCGTACAAGTTCACACCAACGCCCAGATTTTGTATTGGCTGTATGGCGTTGGCCGCTTGTGCCAGTTGCAGTTGCGCCGCCTCGTAGGCGCAGCTGGGCGGCAAGGTGATGTAGTGTTGTTTCTGTTGTTGTCCATTTTGAGTGTGCGCGTTAGCTTGTGTATGCTGTTGCTTGGGTGTGGCAAGCACAGTTTGATGAACGATTTGTGGACGTTGCTGTTGCTGTTGTTGCTGTTTCCGTTGCTGTTCCAACATTTGTTGTTGTTGTCGCTGCCGTTGACGTTGTTGTTCCAACAGCTGTTGTTGATGTTGCTGCTGTTGGTGTCGCCGTTGTTGTTCCAACAGTTGTTGCTGCATTAGCTGTTCCTGCTGTTGTTGCTCCAACAATTTCTGCTGCAAAAGATGCTCTTGTTGTTGCTGCTGTTGCTGCAGCAGCTGTTGTTGTTTGAGTAATTCTTCTTCGCGTTGCTGTTGCAATAGTAGCTCAGCCTGCGGCAACTGTTGTTGTTGCGCCATCTGTTGTTCAATTAATTGCTGCGGCTGCGCACCCTCTGCTGGCAACATTTGCTGCTGCAACGCATGCTGGTGTTGTTGAACAGCAGCTGAAGGTGGCTGCGGTACTGTATGATGCTGCTGTCGTCGCTGGTGTTGTTTTTTGTGCACCACTTCATCCTGTGCCTTATCCTCTTGTGCCTGCGCGCGCGCACGTTGCTCCACCACTCTCTCTGTCTCCTGGATGTCATTCAGCAGCTGTGCGAACGCCGCATTATCCACTGAATACTCCTTCGTAGAGCCGTCGTTTTCATTACAAACCGTTGCAGACGCATGCACCTGCACACCATTGTTAGCCTCATTGACGCAGGCGTTCATGTCAGTGCCCATATATTGTAAAGTATCCGCCTTTGCAACGCCCACCTTGCAATTAGTCGCCTCCTCAAGAGACACCGCTGCTAATGCGCGCATTTCCAAGTCATGCGAACTTTGCTCATTTTGGCTGCTTGCAGGACTAGCCGACGCATTGTTGGCAGCTGCTCCCGCCAACTCAATGTTCTCAAAGCAGGGTATATCATTTTGGAAGCCGATCAACTCTGACTGTGTGCTGTCCTCCGTGAAGCATTCACCGTATTTATTGCCATATTGCTTGCCATAACCAGCAGCAGCACCTTGCGCTTGCTGCGCCGCCTGTTGCTGATGTGTCGGTGGACCGACAGACATGGGCGCCGATATTGGTGATGGCTCTGACATCTGTCCACTGCTTACGCTCGCCGGCTCCATATGCATGTGTTGGACGTAAGGGCTGGAGGCCACCGACAAACTGCCACCACCGCCGGCCATGCTGCTGCTGCCCACACTGCCGACGCCACCAAGCGGACTTTCGGCGTACATGCTGTGTGTGGGCGTGGTTGGTGGTTCGGAGAGTGGCGAGTACACGGATTGTGCGAAAAAGTCATCTGCGCTGGATGAGACCGGTGTGTAGATGTGTTGATCCTGCATTTCGTTAAGTATCCCACTTAATGTGGTCTCCACATCCTGCATCTCACTCAAGTTTGTTTCGCTTAGCAGCTGTGTATGTTGCTGTGTTGAGACTGTTTCGGCTTCAGCCTCAGCTTCAGCGAGTAATGCAGCGGTCACTTCGCCGGCTGGCAAGGTGGCTTGCAATTCGTTGGCTAGCGGCGCTTCGGACTCATCAGCGAACTCAGGCGCGAATTCACTTATGAAATCATGCAATTTTGTGTCAGTCAGACTGTCTGTGGACGCTGGTGTCTGCGTTGAAATTGTTGGTACGGCGCAGCTCGAATACAAAGCGTTGTTGTTCGTTAGGCACTCCACGCGCCGATTCGGACTTGACCCAGTACCGTCGCTGAAGCCCATAAAATCACTTTGCTCGCTCTCGTATTGGCTGTTGCCGCAAGCATAGCCGCTGTAGGACATAAATTGAGCTTTCGTGGCGTTCGCTTGGGGCTGCGCTGGTTGCGAGTTAACTTCCATAGTTTGGTTTTCATTAGTTGGCTGCTCGTTGGTGGCATTCGGTAGTTCTGTTGATTTCATAGAAGTATCTGCGGTTGCTTCTGAGCTACCAATGGTTATGCATTTACCTTCAGCATCGCCATCTTTGTTGCTGTTGATGCTGTTATTTTCTTTGGCTTGCGCTGGCTCTCTAGCCTCATCTTTTTTATGGGCGATCTCAGCTGTTTCTGTTTTCTTTGTCTCTTGGAAACTTTTCGTCATTTTAGCTGTCAAAGCTGAAATTTTAGACGTTTCAGTGGTCACCGTTGAGGTGTCGGACAAGGTCGCTTTTATCGGTGTTTTTTGCACGTTTGTTGTTTTCAAAAATTTCTTTTGGAAATCGGCAGATAGTGCAGAGAGCGGTACGCGTACTATTAGCTGATTGCGTAAGAGAACCGACACTGGATTGGAGCTTGCGGTTGAAGTTGTTGTTGGCGATGTGAGCGCTGTTATCTTTGCCATCATCGGTGTCGATTGTGTTGAAAACTTCGTGGGTGACTCTATAATGTCCGTTTTCACCGGAGAGGTAAACAACGAAGCATTTGTTGTGTTGGACATAAGTGTAGAAAAGGTCTTCAGAGACATTGACGCGGCAGGCGTGGCTTTAGTTGGAGTCAGCTTAACGGCTGAAATTAGCGGAGTATCAGTAGTTGAGACCTCAACGGTGTTCTTTGGTTCACTTTGAGTTGGCGTGAGCGCTGGTAAAACGGGCACTAAAGGCACTAATTGGCTGGGCAAAGTCATGCCCGAACTTGAGCCGACCGACGTGCCAGATGTAGATGACGTTGCGACGCTCTTTTTATTATTATCACAATTTTCTTTGGTGGCCTCAGCACAACCATTAACGTTCAATATACTCACATTATTTATTACCATCTTGCCCCTATTTTGGCTGATAAGCGGTGGCGGTAAGGTGCTGTTGTTTGACTTTTGCATTACATTTGGCACATGTTCGTCCTCCGTTGTGGCTGCGTCATCAGTCAAGCTGCAATTATCGCGACAGCACGAGCGTTTGGGACGGAAGCGACGTCGCTTTTGAGTCTCAGTGCTCGAAATCTCTATATTCTGCGGCTTGGACAAGTTACCTACGACATGATAACGCGCCGCTGTCAATGGGCGTGGCAAAGCGCATTGTGAACTCGGCGTAACGCTTGTTTTGTCATCAGTTTGTTTGGTCGCGCACGAGCCACACGCATCCGGAAGTTTCTCTTGCACCAATTTTAAAATAATGGGCATCACTTTGCCGTCGGTGGAATTGTCACCTTGCGTTACAACACGTCTTCTTGTTTCCTCTAATAATTTGCGCCGCTTCTTAATGCGTTTGCTTCGCCGTTCTGTGCAACTTCCACCCGCGGTTGTCGTGGTACTATCTCCATCTGTGCTGTAAGCCGTCTCTGTTAGGTATAACTCAGTCTTTTGGATTTCGGTGGGTGTTGCAAAAGGTATTGGTTCACATTGTGCGGGAAGCACAAGTTGATCTTCCTCATCCTCCATGGAAGTTTGTTCCTGTAGGCTTTCCTTCATTTCGGCTTTGGTGCGCCAAGGTGAGCGCGTCGAATGTGTGCTTTCGTTTTCATCGGTTGCTAATTTACGTTTGAGCGCTGAGCGTGTATTAGAGGCATCTTCAGTCGCGTCAGTGGCTTTTAATGCTACGCACTCTTTGTCCATTAGCGAAGCGATGTGAACATCTGCTTCGTTCGTGTGTTGCAATGCAACTGTTGCGGCTGACGCCGTCATAGACTTTGTCACCTCTTCATACAACTCAGTGGCTTCTAAGCGCCGTAAGCGTACAAAACATGAGGGTAGCCGTGTCACCGACTCAGCCTTATCTACGTCAACAACACAATCAGTTGTCGCACTCTCTGTGCATGAGTGTTTATCGAAACAAGGGTGGTGAGAGCGTGCACGCCATTTAAGTCGTCGACGACCACGACGTGCTGTCGCATAATATGAGAATGTTGGTTGTGTTGGAAGCGTCGTAGAGTCAGCGCCTTCCGCTATGCTATTAGTATCAATATCGTTGGTGGCCGCCGTCATTGCGGGTGCATCACCATCGAGCAGAGCCGTCGCGCGCTCAGACGTTAGTTTTGTAAGGCTACGTCGTACCTGCTTCTTCTTATAATGCATGGCGGTGAAAGCTGCCGCGGCGGCCGATGTAGAGGCAGGCGAATTGGCGAGCAAGTGGCCGATGGGTCCCTTCAGTGTACGTCTCAGCTTGTGCTGCATATGCCGACGTGCGAGCGAACGACATTTCGGTGAGGTGCTGTAAGCTTTGAGTGCAGCTTTCGTTATGAAAGCGGAAACCGCGCTAGCGGAGTTGGGATCGTTTGCGGTTGAGGTTTCTAGCTGGTCGGTTTCTAGCAGATCGGTTTCTGCTGAGAACGCAGTCCTAATAGTTTCCATGTTGTATTTGTGCTCAGCTGTTGTTGGTCTTTGCTGTTCAACTGTTGCTATTAGCGTTTCAACGCCTTCATCATCACCATTACCATCAGCGTCTACGGTAACAGGCACATTTTCAGCAGCCAAGCGTTCATCAGTTTCCAAATGATGCTTACCGCCAACACCGCAGCCGCCGCCCTGTACATTACTCAGACTCAAAGTGCGATTCAAACTTGACTTTAAAGTGTTGCCAGCAACTCCCTTATTATTAGCCCCAACTGCCGCCGATGTCGCCGCTTTGCTTGCATCAGTTTCAATGGCAATTATCTGCAAAGCAGCCGCACCATCTTTCACAGCCTCGTTGTTGCACGTCGTCGTATTCGTCGTTGTTGCCGGCAAAATTGGCAAATTACTAATCTCGGACGCTTCCACTGTTTGTTTACTGCTTTGTACATCATTCCTCGGTACTTTACTTAACCCAACCACCGCCGTCACCGCCACCGTCACCGCCGCCGCCGATACAGTCGCACTCGTTTCGGTATTATTGCCAATTGTTGGTGTTGTTGTGACCGCTTGACCGCTAATCGGTTTCTGTTGCACCGACGATGTGTCGACGTCCATTGGTGTTGCCTTTGTAGTGTTAACAACAACAGCTGGTTGTAACAAATCAACGACGTCGTCTTCTACCTTGTTGTTCCGCGAAGAACTCGAAATTTTGGTCAGAGGCTCATCTGTGATAGCTTTAACAACATTGCCGCCACAATCACCGCCACAACGCGCTATTAACGTGTCCGCATCACATAAAATCGCCGTTGCCGCCGCCGTCTCTACCGCCTCTTTAGTCGTCGCTGTGTATGAGTGGGCGTGTCGCGTATCCATAAATACTGCTGCTGACGCGATTTCCGCTTCTGTTTCTCGTTCTCCTTCGCGTACACATTCGCAAACACCGCCTCGCTCTCGTTCCCGTTCCCTTGCACGTTTCTCACGTTGCACACAATTTTCGGCATGCTTTGGCTCGCCGCTTAAATACGTTGGAGACGGAGATAGAGACGCGCATAACGACGCCGTTTTGGCTATGGCCTCCACAGACTGATCGGCGTCGGTCGGCACTGCGTCGTCTGTTCGCGGCAATGCCTCATTTTTCACCTCATCGTCATCATCATCATCAACGTCATTAACAGCGGCAAGACAATCATCTGCTCGCGCCCCATCTTTCACCCGTGCGGCCAAGGATAATTCATCCTCATTGCTTTGCTGGCAACTAATCGGCCTTTTTCGCGCCGATCGCGTTCGCATCATCACAGTCGTTGGGTTTGTTGGTGAGGCTGTTCTCTTGTTGGCTTTTGTACGTTCTGCCGCCGTTGCGGGCTTAAAAATAATATGCGTTGCCAGCAATGACTCTTGATCGACGCTTCGACCGCTGCGCCTATTTACATCACGTCCCAGAGCCGTCTCAACATCCAACGTCGTCAAATCATTGTTTGGCACTTTCGTTTTGGGCTTTGTTGGTTCAACGCCCAGTAATGGATTTTGCATCGCGCAAGGGGAGGACGTTCTTACCGTTGTTAATGTGGTTGTTGCTGTAGTTGCGGCAGCGTTTGCTGTCTTCTCTATAGAAGACAGCTTGGACGTCTCACTGCTGTTACCATTACCGCTCAGACTCGCCGTATTATTAGCCATTTTGCCGATATGGCTGGTATTGGCGGTATCGGCCGCATTGACGTTGAGCTCCAGCCCCGAACGCGGCGATTTGCTGCAGTTATCGTTAATTAAATCGTTGCCAATGTCCAACACCGGTGGCAGATTCACGCTCAACGCGGTCTCCAGCTCGTCTGTGGTTTGCGTCTCCTGGTTGCGCAGTCTTTGGCAATTATTTGGCTTCGATTTCGTCTTCGAAGCCAGCGCGGTCGACAGTTCCTCCGTTTGCTCGTCCGCCACTTGCGCCAACAATTCTTCATATTCCCAACAATTGGTTTTGTCGAAGAGCGAACGCAATCTGATTTGTACCTTGAGGCATTTACGACGAAACTTGTGGATAATATAGAATTGCGCGGTACATTTCGAGCAGATACGCTGTGGCAGTCCATCATTGGATTTTATCTGGAAGAGATGAGTAAAAAAAGAAAATTACATAAGAAAAAATAAATAAACGAGGGTATATTAAAGAAATTGTTACTTATTAATGTTCAGTTTGCTCAAATGTGAATGCATCAACTATACAACAAATACAAGGTGGTGTGTGTATTCGTTTAAGGATCGCGAGCGCTTTGCCATTGGCTGTTAGTTTGCTCGTTCGAAGGTGTTGAAAATCGCTAAATATTCGTATAATAAAAGAATACCCGGTAACACCCAGTTTGGCTGCGCGGATCTTGTTGATGTTGATGTAGCTTTGTTGTTGTTGTTTGGCGAAGAGGGCACAGCGTGTAAACAAATGACGTCAAATGCCGACTGCCAAAACAATTATCCTCCGTCTGACCACGAATACTTCTCACTGCTCATCTATAGAAATTTAGTAGCTTCGATTTTTTTGTTGCCCTTTTATTTTTTGTTGTGTTTTTGAACTTCTCTTGCTACATTTGCATGCCTTCAGAGAAGTAGTTATACGGTTTAATGCAGGTTTATGATAATGACTGTTCCATTTTTACATCATCGCTACCTATACAGACATACTTACACATACATATTTATGTGCACACATTAGTGATTATTTACATATGTATATGACAATGCCCCATTGCTATGGTTGACCGCAAATGTGACAACGAAATTGAAAACTAACTGGAAGCATGTCAAATCGTGCAGAACCAGAAGCTCGGCACGGTCTAAAATGTATGTATTTGAGGCAGACAAGAGCTCGCTCACACATACACACACAAACATGTATGCATACTCATTTTGTATTTAAATTTTTGTAAGCAGTTTATGTAATGCTTTCAACATCTGGCTTTGAAATGATCTTGCAATAAATTCTAACCTAAAAGTCACAATTTCATTGACGAAGAAGAGCGAAGCTTCAGAAATATTTGTGGCGAAGCATGAAATTTAGTTTTGTGTGTTTTTAATCAATTTTTGCGCGCTTAGAATTATTATTAATTAAAGAACTACTAAAAGGATGTGGAAATCATTTTTTGTTTTGTATGGTATGATAGTTGGTTATCTAACACCATGTATTTCAGGCGGAAGTGATTTCATACGAAACATGTGTATGATGATAGACCTGACAATGCTGAAGGTTTTTTCGAATGTCTGAAATAACTCTGCAATGCTGTAATGTGATTTTAATATTGACAAGCTAATTTGAGCGTTGGAGTACAGGCTACAAAAAATTATGGGTCGGTAATAATGAAGGCTTCGAGTGTTTGAAAATCTGTAATTGGTTCGACGATCACTTAAATCTGTTTAAATAGAACCCTTAAGCACACAAGGTTCAAAGAAGTTAGGTTAAACTGCTGATTAAGCGATCCTTAGAGTTCTGATTGATTATGTTGATCCAATATAATAAGCGCAGCAGCCGTGTTCCAATTTTTTTTGAGAGGCAAAAGAGCTTGAGAATATCGTTCAGGTATAGTACATTAAAATGCTGAAAGTCTATCGAAGAGCATTAAACCAAGTTAACCTTAGACTATATAGAAAAGAACCCACGTGGAAATACTGAAAACGCGTTATTTTCTTATTCATTTAAAAGGTGTAGGCTTTCTTATCGGGATTAAATGGAGAAGAGGAGCTAAAATAGAGTTAGAGTACATGTCTAAAAGACGAATCTCAGATTACAAAATAATCAATCTAAAAGCACTCGCATTGCACTAATATAATTAGATTCTGGAAAACGGAGCTAAACTGACTTGTTACGGGAGGAGTGAAGTGACAAACCTTAACTACCAAAAAGAAAACAAAGAATATTAATAGGAACCTAAGGTACAAAAGCACTTTGTGTAGATATTATGTGAGTGGCTCTGTATTAACAAACCTTGCTACAGGTTATAGTTGATCAAAATCTCAAGTAAGCGGCAATTCGCATTGGTTACAAGAAAAACAAAAGGAATTCCATCAGTAGAGTGATGCTTTCACACACATACGATTTTAATTTATTATTATGATATCTGTAAAGAACTGCAACCATCAACCGGATGTAATATAACCTCGAACTCTGTATTTCTAAGTAAACCCCAATTTGTATGTTCTCCACACTCCAAACTTCATAATTTTTAGTGCTAGTGACAATAGCCACAACAGAACAGCTGGAGACATCCACTAAACCGCAAAAGATCACACATGTCATACATAATTTAAACACGAGTTATCAAGGATAATACTTTCGAACTTCATTCAAGTGATTAAGCAGTGATGCTTAATGATCTAATCCGCTTAAACCTCGTGGTTAAATGCATTTTTAAATTGCTGTTGTTGTTGGCTAACTGCAAACGCAGGACATTTCGTGGTCTGCACACGCAACCAACAGCGCAAAGCAAGGAAGATAAGTCAAAGCTTAGCTATAACCGCAGGTGGCAGGCGCATACAGAGGTAGCGAGAGCGGGGAGCTAGAAGGTAAATGTAGCGGAGAGTGAGATCACACGCACAGCTGGTTGTCACATTGAATTCGCAGCAATCAAGTAGTGCCGTTGATCCTGCTGCTATTTGTCCTTTTAAATTGTTTAACAGCTGTAGTAAAATAAAACTAATTGACCATGATTATTTAAGCAGGAAGGCACGTACACACGGCCAAACATACATATTTATTTACATATGCCTACATTACATGTGCCTTAAGTTGGAGACTCTCACGTGCGACTTAGCAAATTAACAAGAAGAGGATATACGAAGGATATAAGGGATATATTTGATTATGCATGTATATATGTATGCATATATGTATGGGTGAGTGCGTATGTAAGCATGCGTGCTTGTGAGAAAGCGCTTACTAATCGACCTGACAGCTTGACCAGCATTGTGTGGCCTGAGTTAGCCATGCGAAAAATATTATATTTTAATTTACGCACAAGTCGTTGGGGCGTTGAAATAATTTTCATTTTGGTTTTTTTTTATGTTATTGCAATTATTTTTTATAGGCTTGTAAGCGAGCTATAAAGGGCGCATAATTATTAATAATAGCTGAAATGAAAAATATTACATGAAAGCAAGTTGCGGGTAAGTGAGCGTTTATAGAATAAATAAGCACACACACAACCGCACTCACACATACATATGTACATAAATGTAATCAGGCGGTTGATTGTTCTGCGAGTTGTTAATTGGGCTGATCTCTTTAACACCAGCGATTAGCAAACAAGGCACGCACATAAACCCTGCGAGAGCTCAAAAAAAAAAAAAACACGACCGAAAAAAAGAGGGTACGAAAACCGCTACGGCCGAGGTACAAGTCTGAAAAAGTAGAGGAAGTAGCTGAAGAAGAAGAAACCACACACAACCAATCACCTGTTTATTATTCAAAACACTGTATTGTATGTCAATTAGGCGATGCCAGTTCAGAGCGTTTTTAACAAGTAATTGACAACATTGTTGGAACATGTGAATGCCACGCCTATCCTCCCCTATGCTCTAATACCCTGGCGCTGGTTAAGCGCATAATGTTTAAGTATAGTACTCGAGTACGTACTTGCTTTTGTATTAAATAAAATTAGTTTACTTACACACACATATCCATGTACATATATATATATACAGACATACACACATATACATATGTACATGCACATTTATCATTGCAAACCACACAAGGAGTTCAAAACTGCCATCATTTCATTGGCGAAAGTAAGAAATGATGTAGTAGCGTTTCAGATGCTAACTAAGCAGGTAAGGGGGGCGAATCGATGGATAGATAGCGCTGTTTCAGAACAAAGGTAAGCGTAAATAGAACAATGTTGCGACGCTGTTAGAGCGAATTAGATGGTAGTGCAAAAAGTTGAAATGAAATACAACAAAAACTAAAAAACAAGCAACAAAAACAAAAAAAAAAAAACCAATAAATAAATAAAATAAAAACAACTTACGGGTTAGCGCAAAAATAGTTTAATGTCTGCTACAGCGACCGCTAAGACGCACACATACATATACACATAAATAGCTGACGCACACTATACACTCACACATACATATATATGTATATACATATGACATACATGAAATGTCTATGCGGTGAAATGTAATGTCAAAACCACTGAGGCATGGCTAATTTGGATTATATAGGGGTTCATCTAATTGTTATTACTCAAGTGAGCGGACATCGCAGCCTAAACTACGAATACATATATATATATGGAAACCTACACATATACATGCATACATATGCACACAGTAGTGCAACTGTGCAAGATAAGTCAGCATTAAATATGAAGCCAAAGTGGCAGGCAGCAGGAACAGTCTGAACCACAAAAAGCCACCTGCTCCAATAGGTGAATGAAAAAAGAATGAAATTTTCAACAGAATTGTTTCAAAACTAACTAACCGTTAGAGCATGTTATTTATTTTTCCTTACTCTGTATCTTGTCAATTTTGAGCTGCGGGCGCTTTGTGTCACAAACTTGTATTGTGCGCCCTAAAATATGCGTCATGAGGCTAACTTCCTTACTGCATGATGGGGTTTGTGGGAAAAGAATTGTTACAAATGCACTTTAAAGAGTTGAGAAAATTCTAGAATTAAAGCAGACAATTTTTGACATTTGCTTGTGTAATTTTTTATTTTTTTATTTATTATAAAAAATATACAGAAATATTTTTTGTTCCTTTACAAAAAATTTAATTACTAAGCAATTTATAAAAAAAATGAAAACTGATTTTGAAGTTAATTCTTATATATTATTGATATATTACTCAATAAATACTTATAATATAATTAAAAAACAATAAGGCAATTTTTTACTCAGATATTTTCGATTGGTCTATGGTATTTTTACACTCTGAACAGGGTATATACAGTTTGCCATGAAGTTTGTAACACCCAGAAGCAAACTTCAGAAACTCTGTAATTTAGCCATGTCCGTCTGACTGTCTGTAAATAATCGAATTAATGCTTCAGTTTTTAAGATATCGCTCTGAAAACTTGCACACATATTTTTTTCCCCAAGCAGTTGCACATTTGTCGG